CTAGTAATATATTTACTGAGAAAAATGTTGACGTGTTCAATACTTATTTTACCCGCTGTATGTATAATGTTGCTCAGTTTATTCAACCTGGCTCAGTGGAACCAGTTTTGTTCTGTAAATTTATCAGTTTATTTCTTAGAGTGTGTAAAAGTACTTTTACTTTCCCACTTTTTGCGAACAGTTTTCTTTTACTTGAGTAGTTTTCTCATCAGTGAAATTTCGTTTTACCAAAGTCATCATTTTCTGTTCATGTAATTTTACTTTTAATTACTTTTTTTTCCCCAAGTACTTTATAGACCTCTGCAGCTGTGGCTACGATGTAACTCGCCACCATCATATGTGTCGACTTGTCGGGATTGTCCGTAAATTAGGATTTTTTCCCCCCATTTTGCAGTTTTATGAACGTACAGAGAAACCTCATGTTTTATTTTCACATCTCACAGACATTTTTTAAACTCAGCTTCCAATTTATTTTACATCTCAAACTCTGTGAGACGTAATAAATAAATAAATAAATAAATAAATAAATAAATAAATAAATAAACGTCCCAATGGGTTAATATTCATGCACCATCAGTGTGGGGAATGAATGCATGAATATAAAGCACTGTGGAGTCCTTGGACTTGAGAAAGCATTTATCGTTCATCCGTCTTGAGCGATGCAGCTGTCAGAGGACAGCTCTGATTGAGAGCGTTCACACCTGGCAGTTAAACATGGACCCCAAAGAGTTTTGCTATCAGCTGTTAATTACCCACCCTGTAGGCGCAGACACATGCAGACACTTAGTTCTGTGTTTAATAACCGGTTGAACATTAGCTCTGCTGAGACTGATATTTTGTGATTCACACAACACACACACACAGCTTACAGCAACTTCTATGGGTCCAATTACGGCTAAAAGCAACCAAGAAATATTAAAATGAGAGGAACCACGGGATGTTGTTGTAACCCACTCTGAATAATATGTTGACAAAACATTTTTATTGAAACGGTTTGTCCTAACTCTTAGCACACACACACACAAAACCCTCTTGATTTGCTTTCCAGTTACCGTCTCTCAGTTCTGCACAAACCCAATGACAGAGTTAAAACACAAACCAAAATAAAAAGAATAGCATTTACATGCTGTGACTCAACCCACGCTTTTCCAACTTTTATTTTCTTTAAGACGAAAAAAAGATGAGGAGATTCGACAACATTCACACTCGGCCTGATTCCGGTGCAAACAACAGAAGGTATTCTCGACACCCGGGAGGATGCAGTCAATATGGAGAGAGGAGCTTTTCAAACAGATTATTCCTGATTTAGTGTTCCTGTGACGAAAACAAAAACTTGAGAGTTTTTTTTTATAGGTAGTGTTAGAAATATATGAGGGCAGAATGCAGTAGAAACTGGTGAACAGATACGGTCACTTTGATAATAATYTGAGTTAGCATGAAGCCCGACCTCACTGTTGAACCCCTTCTGGATCTAACTTTGAATACCTAATTCACGACCATCAGGTGACGCTTTCCTCATAAATGTTAATGAGATTTCCCAMGTTCACTCCGGCAAAATGAAAAATTTCTGCCCAGAGGCTTCCGCTGKATTTCCACCACTTTCTCCCAGCACCGAGCTGCTCTGGTGGCTGTTTTCTGTTTTATTCATGTATTTGACACTTGCACTGTGTGATTTAAATGTCATCGTTTTTTTTTAAAAGGCCCTCATTTTTCTACAGCTATGTGGGTTCTAAGAAAGCTGCCTAAAGAAGCTGCAAAAACATTTAAAACATCTGGATCAGGGGTGGGCAATTGGTGGCCCACGAGTGACTTCTGTTCGGCCCACCAATTTTTTTTTTTTTTTACTTTATAAATGAACTCAAAGCAGATCTTAGATCAATCCTCTTTGGATCTACATRTATGAACAGACATTCTCAACAAATCCAGATACAGATCTTCTGTCAATGATCACCTTTCTGCTATTCTTTGCATCACCGTGTTATGATTGCTTTTGTTTTTACTGTTTGCATAGGAATATTTCCCTTTATCACCTACATCATAATTTCACATAATTATATAAATATTTGCAACATTTCCTTGTCCTATAGCAGTAGCAGCTAATCAAACTACATAATTTACTGCTCTTAAAAATGGGTGGAAAAAAATTAAGCAGAATTAAGTACAAGGTATTGCTGGTTTTGGCCCTCTAACATAACTCAAGGTTTTCATATGGCCCCTGGAGAAAAATAATTGCCCAACTCCGGTCTGGATGATTAAAGTCCTGAGATAGGAGTGGTACGATGAAAAGGTTACCCAAAGATTGTAAAAACCAATAAATTTTAAATTGTAACAACTCCAAAGTTGTTTCTTATCAGAAAATTGACTTGTTTTCAGAACCACTGTCTTGACTTTAAACATTTATGTATAAGCAAAAGGATTAAAATCCTATTTTCTCTCCTACATACAGTATCAAGGTTGCATCTAAAAGAAAAACTCAAACAGCATCCAACACGTTAAAACCAACACTTTGTGGACTCCCATCATTCTTAGTCAATGTGTTGCAAAACACCRCAAAGGAGTTGTTTTCTGGCTGCTATTGTGAGAACAATTTTTTCAAAATTTGACAAGTACATCTTGCAGAATGACAACTTCTCATTTTGGTGCCACCCAATTCACTGACTCACCAAGGCTTCAAGGCATGAATGAAATGTTGTGCCAGAGGCTCCCTTTTTATTGTATGAAATTAAAACATCCAATCAAATCAAGGTTTGTCCTTTTTGCACTCTTAAAAACAACTGTTGTTGGCCAACGTGCTACACAAAAAACAAATAATAAAAAGATAACACTGAGCACAAGAGACCATAAAACAAGCAGAAGATATGTGACAAGACATAAAATAACCATTTAAAATTAAACATCAACTTTCATGCTKCATCAAATGCCACTGCTTTAAAATCCTCATTTTTCACATTTAAATCCTTGTTGGGGTTCATATAAAGTGGAACTGCAATGCTTTGGTCTAAATTCCTCCTTACTGTAACTCCATAAGCCCCTTTTTTTCACCGCTTTTCTGAGGTGTGTCTCAGATCAACTCGTTTTGATGCTGTCTCTTTAAATTCAAACGAGGTGCTTCAAGCTCCGCCCCCCTCCAGCTTCCAGACCGGTCCATTCTAGTTTGATAGAGGGGTTTACGACTATATAGCAGGGCTGAAACTTGTTTTTACAAATGAATTAAAATATGTCAACAACAGAAGACTTGTCCATCCAGCCTCACATGTTGGAGCCAGAGTCTGACTCAGACAGAGGAGAATGAAGACCACCAAACTGTAGTTGGTAAGTCCAGACCTTATGTCTGTTCTKTTCCAAATAATTTAACGTAACAGTTCAGAAAACATCAAATAAAATAGAGARAACAGRAYGGGTTGAAAAATATGACCTAAACAGAAAATAAAGTTATCTACGCAGCATCTAGAGGCTTCAAGTAAACAACAAATTACATTTAATGGCTAAAAATGTKAAATTTGCATATGTTTCCTTTAGGATGAGGCGGACCTACAACCAAAGACCCAATGACYTCTGTGGACCAGCCTGGACCTCGGGACAAGTACAAGTAAATGATCTTTAGATCTAAGGGATCTAGAACAGTGGTTCCCAAACTTTTCAGCTTTTGACCCAYGAAACAAAAGCAGCAGAGACCTGTRCATTGTTTTCACGTCAGATAAACAACAGCATAGTARCATTATTTGTTACATTATTTCTGTCCAATTCAAGTACACTAATCTTATTATTTTGAAACAACAAAGGCTGAAAAACATTTTCAGGACCCCACTATGGGTCCCGACCCCAACTTTGGGAATCACTGATCTAAGGATACTTAAAGTGCCTGTGACATGCATAGCCATGAAATACAAAATGTCAAAAAATATATAYGTTTATATTTAAGAAACTTGGCATCATATATGCGATTTTACCCATTATATCACATGATTGCCTTGTTTTCTTTTGAATTTGGCTCAGCTAAAGTGAAACAGGAAGTGACATCAAAGGGGACTCTTCAAGAAATAAAACTTTCTGTTTTTTTGTTTATTTAAACAATATTATTTGAACTCTGACTTTTCCTCATCTTTATATGATAGTGATTGAAATAATCCAAAGAAACATCAGATTATTCTCTACAGTCTGTGTTGTTTGCCATTTTAGCAACGCTCTGCTCACGTGCAGACATTCCCCTTTGACATCACTTCCTGTTACTTCACATGCAAATATCTCAACAACTGTTCATCTCAGCGGCATGAAACTTTTTTTTACAATTATGTTATCAGTGTTATCCCTCCAAAAAATACATTAATTTTTATCACAGAAAATTGATGTCACAGACACTTTAAGACTGCAGGAGGTCAGACAGGTCTACAGGGGTCTGTCCACTCAGGGCCTTACAGGTCATCAATAAAACGTTACAATCAGTGCTAAAACAAACAGAAAATCAACGAAGGGAAGTGAGGACTGGAGATGTGAAATGTGACTTTTAAGAAGCTGTGAGAACGCAACCGCCAAAATAAAATGTAGCTCATTAGAACAGCGTTGTGTGAAATAATGAAATGWGAATAATGCTCTGTACCTTTAAGGAAGATGGCTGACCCTCCTCAGTCTGGTGCAGCGTCGACAGGGGAAGTTGGAGCTCTGCTGGGGGGGAATCACACAAACAAACTGATGTTAGATTCATGGAGTGTTTGTGGTCGAAGGGTCAAGCGAGGCTCATCAATAATGGATGAGGTGGCAGAGAACACTATGAAACCCAGTTAAGAGTGGTTTAACCGAAGCCCCTCTGCATATTTAGCCTGGCGTCAGTTCACGCTCGGCCTGTTTGCTCGTTTGCTCCRTAATTGACGGTGATGAGGTTCGTATGACTGACGAGAGGAAATGAAGTGGAAGCCATTGCAGTGGAGAGCTGACATCATTAGAAGGGTCAACACACACTCACACACTCACACACACACTCACACACGTTTGCACAGCTATCCATTTGGGGACATTCCATTGACTTCCATTACATTTCTACAGCCTAACCCTGACCACAAACCCTAACCCTAACCTCACAGGTACCTACCTGACCGTAAAACTAACCTAAACTCAATTCACACCTTGGTCCTAAATCCAACCCCCAACCCACCAATGGCATTTAAACCAAATGGTGGGTTGGGGTTGGGTTGGTCCTAAACCCAACCCCCAACCCACCAATGGCATTTAAACCAAATGGGGACTCGACTTTTGTCCCCAAATGCACCAGTTGTCTCCAAATGTAGGCATTTTGTCATAAAATTGCCCCAAATGTCACCAGAAACAAACCCACACACACACGCATTTTCACACTCGAGGATAAAAACATGCTTGGGGTTTCCCAGGGGAGATGTCGTCAAGACAATTGGAAGTCGCTATGGAAATGCCACAGCAACAAGAGGCTAGTGATCCCCCTCCATTAACTTCTGTCACGGCCACTGACACACACACACACACACACACACACACACACACACACACACACACACACACACACACACACACACACACACGTTGGGTTTTCTATCCCCGCAGGAACTTTGCATTGACTTCCATTCATTTTCCAGTCATTTCTACAGCCAAACCCTGAACCCTTACTTTAAACCTAATCCCACCTGACCCTAAACTCAATCCACACCTTCATCCTGAACCTAATTCCCCCCCCCCATCCCCCACCCCCAAAAATAAGGCTTTGGTCCCCATGAGGAGCATTGGGTCCCCATAAGGCTGTGTTTTTCTGGAAAATGGTCCACATGATGCAGCAAAAACATGTCCACACACACATTCACACTCATGTTTGTTCTTCTATCCTCATAGGGGCGTTGCACTGACTTCCATTAATTTACTGGTCATTTCTGTAACCTAACCCTAAACTTAATTTACACCTTAGTTCTATTCCGAAACCCTGACCCACCAATGATTTCCCCACTATGGAGACTGGGCTTTTATCCCCATTAGAAACAGTGGGTCCTCACCAGGCCGTGTGTACCAAGAAAATGGTCAAAAATCGTCCCCACCAAGTAGAAAAACATGTGCATACACACACACACACACACACACACACACACACACACACACACACACACACACACACACACA